AATGTTAACGAGTTAATTAGCAAAGTAAAATCTAACATCTGTTCCAACTTTGATGGCATTTCCTCAAAGGCAGCTGATGCTGCCTCATAGTTTTTAGGCCAAGCCCTCAACTCCCTTGCTTTGCAGCTTGAAAGATTTGACTGGGTGTCCTCTGGTTCGGATAAACTGTCACAGACCCTTCTGACAAATACTGAAGAAAAGGTAACAGTGATCTATTCTCAAAAACCTACCTTTCTGCCATTGTTGAATGCTTGCCCACTAGGAAACGTGCTTTTTTCTTTTTCTAAGCTTTCTGGCTTCTCTCACCTCACATTCTTTGTCAGTCTTCTGAAACATCAAAATATTTCTGTCGTCAGATTCCGCAGCCGGTGATGCGTCTTCCTAAACCTTGGTAGGCGGGTTGGACGCACTATTCCATTGCTTTACATGTTCAGCTATCGACCCGAGTTTTCAGTCACAGTTCCTGATACCGTGGTAGCTTCATTCTGCAGTTTCATCATGAAGTTGAAGGTTCAGAGTGAGAGGGAGATTAATCGATGAGCTGTCTTTCATGGGTCACCCTTCTCCTCTCCAGGCTTCGGGACTCGGATAGGGATCCCCTTCACCGATGACATCGATATGATCATTCTTGTACCGGTGAATTGCGCTGTAGAGATTGTTGTACAGAACATGACAATACATAGGTAGTAGAATCTGAACTTGAGTTCCTCTATTTAGTTGTCTTTTTCTGCAAGTAGTTTCACTAACCAACACAAAGCGTCAAAGCCCATTCTCTTACAGGACACTACACTTTTCCATTGTGTCTGCACTGAATGTAAACCGAGCTGATAAAATGTCATTTCATTGTTCCATGAGCCAAACATACATATCATGATGTAACCAATACAAAGATTTTCACCTTCAGTACATACAACCATCAAAAAAATGATATGTACAACCACAATGATAACCAAGGGAAAGCTTAAGAGCCAAAAGCCTACATACATGCACTACGCTCTTCACGAACTAATGACCAACTGAACCAGCAAGCAAAACTACCAGGTCGGTCCAAAGAATATAAAGGACAAGAATTTGAATCAGACTATTGCTAATATCATATTCTGCTTGTGTATAATAATAAGCATATAAATCGGTTCTCGGTCAGTATCATCTTCTGGTCTCAGTTAATAACGAGATCAGCTCAATGTCGCTGAGGTCTGTATCTGAAGCATAGTTGACGGGTATGTTACCGTCTTTATCCACAGCATTTGGATCTGCCCCCCTGCAGTTGAATCAATGATAACCATAAGCATTATATAATTTATTTATATCTACCATATTGCCTAATGCGATATTTACACTGGTATGTTGATTCTCTTCCTCAAACATCTAAAAACCTATTTATGTAGGAAAACAGGTAAACTACCATCTAAATGCTGAATAAAGTTACAGAGTTTACCTCGCAAGTAGCAACCTGGCAATTGCATATCTCCTGCTTATGATACAATGATGAAGTGGGGTCCGACCCTTTGAATCTGTTGCATTTATTTTAGCACCGTACTGAAGCAACAGCTCGACCATGCCAATATCTGCACAAAGACAGGCGAGGTGAAGCACAGGACAGTCTTCGGAGATCTCTTCTCTGACTAAATCTTCGTCAGAATATCTCTCGAGTTTTTCAGAGAATTCGTCTTTGAAGCTCTGGAATTTTGCTTCAAGGGTTTCCTCCTTTTCCTCCATTTGCATCACCTTTGCAAGGGGCAAAGATGCAGTATATGATGCTTGTCCTCGGATGGTGTTCACATCTACTTCAGAGCAGACAATGTGTCGGTACACTGATTTCTTGTCATTGGCTCGGACACTTTCCCATATCTTTTGGAAAACCGTCTGGAAGTGATGGCTCTCTGTTACTTTGCTGACAAAAATCCTCTCCGAGTACTGAAATAAATTCATCATATAGCAGCAATCAACGACCCAAAGATCTTCAAAATTACAGCCCATTACAATATAACTTCAAAGTTAAAAAAAGTCGTCCACTTTACAGGAAGTATTTCCTAAGTCCTCCTAACCAATCCCAAGGAACACCAATTTTTATACACATCTGCATAGTATTTCTTAGGAAAATGTCGCAATACCCAAAACACAGATATGTGAATTGATAGCAATACCTTAGCATGGATGAACAGTTCTTTCACAGAAATGGGATCATTGAGAACAGGCTTCCTTGCAAGAAATTTTCTTGGTTGATCAGGCTTGGGTGCTCTAGAATGACGAAATTCAAAATCTTGTAAATGCAGAAACAAATAGTTTCTTCTTCTCACTTAAACATTGAAAATTTCATCCCTTACCCTAAAGACTTGTCATCAGCAGAAGATTTACCCTTGGAATATAACAACTCCTCCCACACGGAATTCACATATATGTTACCCAATGATTGAAACAATGTCAAGACAGACGGCTCCCATACTTTAACATCAAGGGTGAGTGATCTGACCTGCACAAAGAATTATATAATCAATGCTAAACTTAGAAAGCTAAAGCTACTTAAGTCAGTGAATGCAATATTGGAGGTTTCAGTGAATTGTATTGTTATCCTTCATAAAACAGAGGCACCATGCATGGTGCAACTGTATCTGTTCATATCAATATTTGACAATTTTCATCATTAGTTGTCCTTTGTGAAAAGGCTGAAAGGATGAAATTTTGCACTAATATAGTTTTGATGGCTTACCTTCGAGATATGCACACCGAGGTTACGATGGATACCAGAACATTCGATACATATAAGAACACCGAGATTCAAAGAGGCCCAATCAGGTTCAGGAGCGCCACAGTCTGCGCATTGTTCATTCCCGGGCACTCTTGTCAACATGTCAATTGGCTTTTCATTCTTTGTCATGTCCTGATGTTGTTGCAGGCACCCAGAAAACCTTAAACGATTTCCAGTGATTGCGTTGTCTGAGGTGGGTTCTCCATTTTCAGCAATGTCAATATCATGAGCATCTGCTAAAGAACCAGAGTCACTTGCAGAGAAAGTATCACCTCCTTCCATAGTAGATAGATGCTGATAGTCACAGGTAAATGGTATTTTAGTCAAAGCGAAAATGCTCACAAAAGAAACAATCAGCAGCAATGGATAATACAGATATACCATGATTGTTCTTTCAGGCGTCTGGAAACTCAATAAAGAAGCAATTACTCCTGTTATTTTCTCGATCCAGTCCATCTGATCTTGTGCATTCTCTGCCTACATAGAATGGTAGTGTAATAAAGTCTAGTCAGTGAAATCTGTAGAGACAGAAAGAACGCCTTGTCACATGCTGTAGTGATGAGGACATAACAATTATGTCTTGTTTAGGAAAACAATACTCTGATACCTGCAATGTGAACACTTTTATTGGTGAAATGATTCTGAAGCAGAATCTTAAATCTGTCTGATCTGCATCAACTTTGATCGTTGAGGTTAGTAGGTTCACAGTGTGACGTGCAACTGGTTTTTCATCGTGCACACCACCATGATAATGCGAAGACAGCCACCGACTCAGAAGTCCAGGACTGTTTTCTGAACCCATATTTCTATGTACAGCAGATCGGCTTCCATTTCCCTGATACATGACATGAGAGGTAACAAAGATTCAGTAAAGGTTTATTGGGAGATTGTGCAAAAACTAACTGTATGTCCCTCTCTTGTTAACACTTCTTCAAGGAAGAAATAATATAAATTTTCTGGTTTTTTTTACTTACTGAAGACCAATTCCATGGTTTGCGATAGTAGTACAGCATCCCTCGGCTATCAAGGACAAAGAATCTTCTCTTCCAGTCACCTCTCAAATTCGAGGAACGCTTAGATAAATATCCTTGTCTTATAGTCTGAACCTGAAGGAGGCGCAATGGCAATAGATATGATAATTATTGAACCCACATTGAAGATATCTGATAAATGTAAAATGAAATCGTTATAGAAATCAGAGAAACTTCCCCGGATAGGCATGTCATGTTTTAACAATTCCAAAAGGGAACTTTTTTCTTTTTCCTTTATTCATTCATCCGTAGACAGAAAATAAAGTACCCATTGAAGTTACATACAAACATGGATTAAACACGAAGTGGGTAAGAGGAAGACTTGTTCCAAAAGTATTTACCTTTCCCTTAGCGGCAGATTGCATTACAGCCTCAATGACTTTCTGTGAATTTCTTGAGAGGAGTCTAACGCCATCCCCAGTAGGAGAACCCTGAGAGCAGCCTGAGTTTCTAGTTTCTCGATCAACCTGCCTTCGGTATTCCTGCATCCTTTCACTAAGTGATGCCATCTCGTAGTTGGCACATTCTCTGGACTGGTGTGCATAAGCCAACACCTGCCATTAAATGTTCAGTTAAAAACACGGCATTATTTCCTTTAAAGGAGTTGAAAAAATAATTTGAATAAACAAGGAATACCCATGCTTATGCTTGAAGAAATTTATCAAACCTGATTAATAAAAGGTTCCATTTGATGCAGTAGTTCATATCCCTGAATGAAGAAGTTACTAGTGAGTAGATCAATACATTCATATCGAGGAAAAATCAAAACGTAATGGTTTTTTTCCCTTATGAAAGGTTCCCTCATAGTCTTGAGCTGATTGGTTTACAGGAAGGAAGAAACTAACCTGCTTGAAGAATTGAAGATGTGCATCCATTGTCCCACTGACTGCTTCCAAAAACGCAAATCTCTTTTTAGCCTCCACATTAGAGAGTGTACTAACCTGATCATCATCGAGTAAGCATGCATTCTTGTGAGATTAGGAATGGACACCTCAATATCTTCGTAGGATCATAACACAGAGTGATTATGGCATTAGTTTTACCAGATTGAACCGGGCTTGCTCGAATGCCATTCTTGCATTATGAAGTTCCTGGAATGTATCTATCAAATTAGCTTTTCAGAAAGAAAATGAAGGTTACCTGTGTCATAACTTGAGATTTGAAAATTTAATAAAGATTGAACAAACCTCCTCTATGACAGAGGCCACATCCAATCGAGTGCTCTTCCTCAGAGAAAGGAACTTCTCACGTGCCTGTCCCATTCAGATGCACAAAGAATGAAAAAAATACTTCAATTGCCCCCAAAAATGGTTACGGTAACAAGATGAAGGAAAAAAAAAGGCTACCCATTAACTCTTGAATTTTGGATAATTTTCAACTAACCTGGTCATATATAATGGAAGCCTTGTCAAAGCGTTTCCTAGCTTCCTGCATCATGGAAATACTCGATAAATATTGAAACTTATAAGGAACAGAAACTAAATAGCATTTGCAATTCAAACTTTCAGACGAATATTGCAATAATCTTTCATGTAGTGGGCAAGGCAGTACAACATACCTTAACATCTTGGATGTCAACATTTACGAAATGAACCAACCGGTCATTCAACATGTGTTCTACCTGGGAATAGCATAACACGTGTCAAAACATTCAAGTCTTGTAAGGAAATTTTCAATATCATGAACGAAAAGATTATAAAGAAATTGCAATTAAGTAGAAGTACAATCGAAATAGAAACTTCTAAAGAAAAAAACCAGTGGTAACTACAGAAAAGAAATGGAAATGAGATAGAAATCTTCCCCAATGAAATAATTTTCAAATAAGGGAGGGGCCATAGACAGAAGTTTTTCAAAAATATGGACCGGATCAGGACAATAAAAGCAGAAATCCGAAAACAGGTTTGTATCAAGTAATACAATATGATTTCACGGTTGTCAATTCTATAAAAGCATCAGATTCAGCACCTGGGAGCGAAGAACTTCCTTGTACGTCCCGATTTCTCGTAAAGCAATTGTGAATTTGGTCATGACAGGACCTGTGAAAAAAGTTTATATATATACTTTAGAAACTAGTTCAAGAAACAATATAAAAGGAAATTAAGGAAAAAGAGATTATAAGTAAACAAATGGGTATACCTCCAAAAGCAACACAAATAGGATCATTATGGCCCCCTCCAAAATTTTCAAGCGCATTTACAAAGGCTATATCTGAATCATATCCTTCTCCGAGGCCCTCACTGAACAGCAGAATAAGAAAACACAAGATATGACTCTTCTACAGCTGAATGATATAACTCTTAGAAGCAGAAGAAAAAAATGCTAAAGAAAGCTAAGCTGTTTAAACTTATTCAGCAAATTCTGGGACTTTATAAACGACTGTTTCGAGAGCTTACGTGTACTTTCGGCATCCTTTCTGAAACTTTAGGCATCTCATCCGCAGTAACTCGGCACTTTCTTCCATACATTGCATCTGTTTGAACACAAATGTCAGTACCCATCAAGATTTTATTGAAATTCTTAAGTGCAAATTCAATAAAAAAAAATTTGCAGGACTAACAGCATCAAGGCACAGAAACAGCTAGAAAGCAGAAGTTAGATCAGTGAAAACGGCCGCAGAAACAGCTACAAAACAAAACTTAGATAACTGGAAACAGCCGATCACATTTTGGAAACTGAGTTCAGGCATTCACATACCGTTTTGGTTTGTGTATTGGTGGACCGAGAAAGAAGACTCAAAGAGGAGAGAAGTCAAGGGAAATGGATTTAAGCGTACAAACTAACTTTTTCTCAGATACATTCAAATCATCGCAGCTGACGGGTGAAACATACGTAACCATTCAAACTCATCATTCTTTATTGGATTGAAAATTCACAATTGAAATCGATGAACGATTAGCAAGTTCCTCCGCATTATATTCAGGGTTCTCTCTATTTTCCTTTTTCATAGCGCGGAAGGAAATTTACAGAGCAAAGGTTCGATAAACAATATGTAATCCCTGTAATCGCAGCCAAAAAAAAACTAAACTTTGAAGAACACATGAAAATTTCACGAGTAACCCAATCGAAAGATCTGCCATTTCATCGATCAATGTCCAAAACCCAACAGCAGAAACGATCAAAGTACCTTGCAAAATCAACATTTAGGGGGAAAAAAATGGAGAGGAGGCAAAACAAAAACCTGTTGCCGAAGCATCGGCGAGTCATCGAGCTTCGTGAAATTCATTTTTCACGGGAAAACCGATAAGATTATAAACCCGAAAATGTTCCTCCTCCCACTCCTTTCTCCTCCTGGGAGTTATCCTCCTCTTCGAAAATGGTGAAAAAAAGGGATTTTTTTTGATGATTCGAAGACGGGGACAGAGACAGAGAGAATTCCGGTGTTCTTCTTCCCGGCGCCAAAGAAAATGGTATCGTTTATTTGGGAAATCCGAAGCTTTCGTTTAGGGTTTGTTTGGGAAGTGGGAAAATGGGCGGAAAATAAGGGAAGATCGTGCGATGGGGAAAATAATGCTAAAAACTCTACTCTAGTGTTGTGGTGGTGATCGTGTTCTAGACCCTTGAAAGCTTCCATGGCTGTCCTCTTGAAAAAAAAATGATTTTTACAAAAATCAAAGCTTTATATTTATAATAACATTAAATAAACTATTGGCCATTTTTAGTACATTCTCTTCTCGTATTATCGATTCAGTAATTAAGGAAATTAATTGAACTTCTCTTATGAAACAAGAAAGAAATAAACTTATTTTATAACAATTATATATTATTAAAAAAGTGAAAATTCTGTATAACCGGACTTGTTTCTAACAGTAATTAAACACATTATTTTCTCTTTTTAACAAATAAATAAAAGTGGTACAGATAATTAAACACTTCAGATTAGTTAAATAATTAGTTAAATCGAAGGGAATAATTTAATTGTGTGTGTGAGAATGATAGGATTAGGATATGGGCACCATAGATTCGCCAGTTCAGTTAATAATAGTTTATTAACTAATAACTACACTTAAGAGTCTGTCTTGACATTTTTTTTATTTTAAAATTTTGTATAATTATATTTTTATACTGGGTTTTTAAGTTGATTTGTATGTTTATTTGCGTTTAGATTTACTAAAAATATTTGTTTTGAAAATTAAGATTTTGTTCTGTTTGGTTGTCTCTATACTTAAATACGATTCAATTAATTTGATTAAAAACATAAATTAATAATTTTTTGAATGTATGTCTTTTGATTTTCTTTAATATTATTTTATTTATGCGGAAAATAACGAATATTCCTAAATCCATATTAAATAATATACATCGAGTTGACTTTACAGTTATATTGGGAATTCCGGGGAGCAGAGCACTCCAATCAAAACGTGTGAGAAACATTAAATTAATTGCGACTCTTCTTTCTCTATGGAATATTCGTTTTTTTTTAATTGTAGGTATCAAAATTCTATAACTTGAAACTTTATATTATTAAATGATTTTGGCAATTTTTTTTAAATAACTCACGAATGAGAGGATGCTGGCATTTATTACGTATTCGAAGATGTCCCAAATGATATATAGATCCAGACCGGTTCGATGATTAAACCGAAACCGGTTTTCTATCTTCAACCGCTTAAACCGAAATCAGTGTCGAGGATCGTGTTGTCTAATCTCAAAACGGTAAGTGAATGGAGACAGGTGTGACCGTACGAAACGCAGCGTTTCGATAATTTCTATTGGGTCTTATTGGGCCTGTCTGACCGTACGAAACGAAACGCAGCTTTTCGATACTTTATATTGGGCCTTATTGGGCCTTATTGGGCCTTGTGTATTCCTTACGAGGGCCTTTATGGGCCGGAAACCCTTTCAAAACCCTGATCCAGATTGTGCACACTGCACATCCCTTCCCCCCACGCACGCAATTTTTTGACCGGACAAGCTGCCTAAGGCCACGTGGACCACATTAACATTCGATGATGAATTCATCATTAATTTTAATTTCTATAATTATCTAATTATAACTCAAGAGATTTTGTTACTTAATCCCATGGGTTATTGCTTCTTCCTGTCTAATCGTGTTCCTCAAGATCTAACACGTGAATTATGTAATATTATTAAATCGATAAAATAGTCTCTGTATATTGTTTCCCATGCCGTTGTAATAAAAACGTGCGGTTATAATATAAAACGAAACATTTATTCAACGATTGAAAATTTTAAGACATTGGGTATATTCTTTTTTATTTTATACTGTGTTTTATATTATTAATATAATTTAATCAATCTTATTGTTGTCAAGTTATCTTTCTTTTTGTTTTTGGTGAGAAAATGCCTTCCACCTTGTGATAATGCATTTGATACATAAAACAAATATTTATAAGGCTTTAAAAATAAACTCAAAATATACAATTAATACTTATTTGTATATTTTATTAGAGTTCGAAGTTATGAGAGTAACAAATATAACATATTAGACACTAACTAAGTAGGGATCGTCATTTCAGTTATTAACCGAATAATCGAGCCAAAACGAACCAAATAAGACATAACTATATCCTAATCGAATCCAATATCAAAACCGAATGATTATGATTTTCTTAAATCCGGAAAAAACGAAATCAGACCGAATCGAATAAAAAATATCCGAAAAAACCGATAGTTTCTTCGAAAAAATGAAATTTGTATGGAAACCGAACCGAATCTGAACCGAAAAATAACCAAACCGAATTGAATCGAAATTTATATAAAAACCGAATGATTATAGTTTTTTATAACCGAAATAGCCGAAATCCGAATTGACCATCCCTATCACTAATCGTATGAAATGTTATTGTGTGTGTATATATATGGCCGTATGAATAAGGTGACGTGAGAATCTGTTTATTTATCATATTGGGGTTAGAAAATTAGAACAATAAGAACCAGTGGCGTATCCAGAAAAAATTTATACCGGGGGCACAGTATTATGTATGATAGAAAAAATAATAAAATTGTATTATCATAAAAATATTTATATTTTACAACTGATTTCTACGAGTCTTCATTTTTTGAAATCTATCCATAACAGCTTCATTTGTAACTGTCTGGAATATATCTTTTTCAATGAAACAAACCAAACAGTCACTCAAAAATTGATCACCAATCCGGTTGCGCAAAGCTGTCTTCACAAAATTCATCGATGAAAAACATCTCTCAACAGTCGCGGTAGCAACAGGCAAAATCAATGCCAATTTCAAAAGCCTGTATACCAATGGATATGAAAGATGTTTCTTTGTTTCCACCATAAGACGAGCAAGATCTCCAAGATTAACCAAATTAGAAAATCTGTCATCTTCCATCAGATTGTCGAAGTAGATACTCAGTTCATGTCGAAGAGATACTTGCTCCGAAAAACTGAAGTCATCTGGATAAAATCCAGCCAATTTCACAAGATTTGGCATGTTAAACCCACGAAATGAGTCAATAGGACTCAAAGCTGCCATACAGATGAGCAGTTCTGAATTTACCTCGTCAAATCGATCATTGAATTCTCGAAGCTGGAAATCCATAACAGTATAGAAACAATCTATCTGATAGTGATGCAAGTTGCTTATACTGGGTTTTTTCCTTAGCCTCCTTGAACCCACATAATCTTCCTCCATATTGATTATTTCAATATTGTGTTTCTCACAGAAAGAAGACACATTATCTAAAAGCAAATTCCATCCAGCGTCTCTTTGTTGTTGTAACTGTCTCTTTGTAGATTTTACCAACGAAATGGCATTCAAAATGTCTTGATCTTTTCTCTGTAAAGCCATTGATAAATTATCTGTGAGTCCTAGAATGAGTAACATCAGTTGTAGATAGAACACAAAATCAAATGTGTGGAAATATTTGAGAAGACCATAGGCTTGACGTCTTTTAACTGTATCTGTACCGTCATTCTCAACATACTCTAGCACCTCAATGATAGAAGAAAACAACTCAACCAAGCGCAACAGTGTTTTGTAATGGGACCCCCAACGAGTATTTCCAGGTCTCTGCAAAGTAATATCTTGATTCAACCCAGTTCCTGTACTAATCTCGCCATTATTAATTTCTTCGTTCACTTTTATTCTATGGCTTTCTCGAATCATGTCTTTTCTTTTGCAAGAACCTCCAACCACACTCAACAAAAGTGAAATCATATCGAAAAAGTTTCCAACATCAAAGAGTTCCTTTGCAACTGCTACAACGACCAATTGAAGTTGGTGAGCGAAACAATGGACATAATATGCTGCTCTACTTTCTCTTGAAATCAATGATCTCAATCCATTAAATTCTCCTTTCATATTGCTTGCTCCATCGTACCCTTGTCCTCTAACTTGTTTTAAGCTCAATCCATATTTAGCAAACAAGGAATCAATAGCAGACTTCAGAGATAAAGCAGATGTTTCTTTCACATGAATAAGCTCAATGAATCTCTCTTTCACTATTCCGTTCTTATCAACAAAACGAAAAACAACTGCCCATGATGTATTTGGGTTGCTGGTGGATGAGTCTAGTGATGTTTCTGATAAGGAGCAGATGGCAGTTGTTTTTCGTTTTGTTGATAAGAACGGAATAGTGAAAGAGAGATTCATTGAGCTTATTCATGTGAAAGAAACATCTGCTTTTTTCTAGTTGGAATAAGACCGAGAGATTGAGCGCTCATGTGGGTGATGTTAATAGTTTTCATAATAATGCACGAAAGAAATGTGATGATTTGATGAGGCAAGATCAATCTATCGTGCATGCTATGCAGAAGCAAAGTGATATTATGAGAAACGAGTATCGTATTCGGTTGAATGCCTCGATTAGTTCTTCTAGATTTCTGTTGAAACAAGGGCTACCGTTTCGAGGTCACGATGAGTCAGAAAATTCTGATAATAAAGGAAATTTTCTGGAACTTGTGAAGTATACTGCAGAACAAAATGATATTGTGAGTAAGGTTATTTTGAAGAATGCTCCGGGAAATAGCAATCAGCGTATTGGTCAAACCAGACTGGATTAAATCGTCTCAATTTATTCCCTATCATCTTCTTTGGAAAGTCATGATCACGTGGTTGACAAGGTCCCCTAATCAAATATTTGCGTCGTATCTCATCTCTTTGATTAGGATGATACTCTAATATTTTTTTTCTATCAGCCGGATCCGAAGGCAAATCATGTAAATCAATTTGCTCAATATTTGATTAGGGGACCTTGTCAACCACGTGGTCATGACTTTCCAAAGAAGATGATAGGGAATAAATTGAGACGATTTAATCCAGTCTGGTTTGACCAATACGCTGATTGGTTAGAGTATAGTATAAAGAAAGATGGAGCATTTTGTTTGTGCTGTTACTTGTTTAGAGAGCAAATTGGGAATGATGCTTTTGTGACAGATGGGTTTTCTAGTTGGAATAAGACCGAGAGATTGAGCGCTCATGTGGGTGATGTTAATAGTTTTCATAATAATGCACGAAAGAAATGTGATGATTTGATGAGGCAAGATCAATCTATCGTGCATGCTATGCAGAAGCAAAGTGATATTATGAGAAACGAGTATCGTATTCGGTTGAATTCCTCGATTAGTTCTTCTAGATTTCTGTTGAAACAAGGGCTACCGTTTCGAGGTCACGATGAGTCAGAAAATTCTGATAATAAAGGAAATTTTCTGGAACTTGTGAAGTATACTGATCAAAGTATAATTAGAAAAGGATTTTAAATTGAAAAAAATTAAACAAAAAGTAAAACTATAGCGGCGGATACTTAAAAACATTCTTACCCTAATTTTTTATAAAAAAGGAAATAATAAAAAAAGAAAAAAAAATAAGAGGGGGCCTATATGAAAATTTGACGGGGACACTCTCTCAAATTTTTAATAACTATAAACACATTAGTATTTTTTTATTTTTTTTAGTGGGGTCCTGTGCCCCCACTCCCCTCCACATGCATCCGCCCATGATAAGAACTGTCATGTAATTTTTTAATTTATGTACTCTTGAGCAAATAATAATGATTTGTTCAATAAAAAAACATAACATTAAATAATCAAAACAATCTCATTACAGTTATCCCACAATTAAATAAATTTTATAACCCAAAGTATAATAAATAAAATGCGATGCTGCAAAGTGAGAAATAAAATTAAGATGGTCTCCGAGGTTACCGCCACGTGAGAGTAGCGTAATCCGATAGTAAAGGATTTATCAAAATACTAATTTTAATTAACCCGTAATTGTAATTAGGTGCACCAGCCGTTCAACACGAATTGGTTTTGTTTAATTTGATTTGATCTGGAGTTACTTGGTTCAACCACAACTTGTCAACGGGACGTATTACCTAACTACAATAAAATTCAGCGTTATTTTAAAGCGAAGATAAATCCAACGGTTTGGAAAATGAGAGTGCATGGAGACGTAGATAGATGAATGAGCAGGTGATCACAGCCCATAGCTATCGATTTTCGGACCAATAACAATATGACACGTGGAGACTTCTTTTAGAAGTAGCATTAATAAACGCTTTTCGTGCAGCGGCTCAGCATTTAAAATTTGGACAGTGACTTTGGTTTGGAATAACCCTTAAATAACAACCATCCGGCTCGGCTCGGCTCGGCTCACGATAAAATTTAACTCCAAATCAAGGATTTTTTATTTTTAAAATGTTAATTATAATTTATAGTTTCCCCATTTCTTTTTATATTATAAAAGTCACCGAAACTATGTCCGATTATATTTTTGAGAGGATCGTCGAAGAAATCTATGTGAATGCCAAATTAATATATTTAAATTTTAAACCCAAAAATCCAAAATAACATGTTTTTTTTTTGTTAACCGGCAAAAAAAACATTTTATTCACATAAAGATGGGTTTACACGTTATACACAACAACAAATAACGGGATGCGGACAAAAATACAATATCCGTGATTTAATATCAAATTCATAACGTGCATGCGAAAAAATATTGTTCCAAGTTAAAAACAATGTTTTCCAAAGTAATACATAAACTTGCGTTATTTGCAATATCAAAATCTTGAAAAATATTTCATCTTTCGGGCATTATATAGTTAAAAAGAGAAACTTAAAATCGGATAATATAATATATTCTTATATAAAAAAATCGGATAATATATTTGTAAATTAAATAGTACCACCGAAGAGATACCGTACACGATACTCATGTTCGGGGCGCATTTCACGTACGTCCTGTGATTTTTTTCTTCCCAATTGCGTTTGTACGCCTATACACGTAATACATTATTTGTTTTTTTGTATATATTATCGTAGAATAAACAATTTCTACTTCGGGAAAAAAATAATCCATCTATTGGTCCAGCAAATAAACAAGAGTCACAATCATGGACGTTTCATTATACATAAAATAATAGGATTGAATATAAGTCTATATTTATTCATGATTGAAAAATGAATTATAGATCTGTAAAATAATCTTGCACCAAAGCGATTTTTTTTTTTGCAACAAAGATTATATTATTTGACCCAAGTAAAGAAAAACAAAACAATATCTACCGAACATATGACGTCATGACGACGTAATTGTTTTCTGTAAATTGTAATTGCCAAAAATCGGAATTATTTATTAAAAAAAGCCACGCGTTTCAATCCGAATCCAACGGTCCCGATTTAATCTCGTGCTGTAGCGCTAGATCCGTGGCACATCCACCGTAGCAAAATCATCTCTCCTCCAAATCTTTATTTTTTTCCCCTCTTTTTGTCTTCTTCCTTTCATTTTTTTTTGTCCAAACCAACCAACCAAAACTAAAAAAAAAAAGCGAAACTCTCTCTCCTCTCCGTTTCTCTCTCTAGGAGAGAGCGCCGGAATCGAGTGGTCTCCGGCGGAGACTCGCCGGAATCAGGTGGAACGCCGCTGCGTCGTGGGAGGAGGGTGAACTTGGAAAGAAAAAAAATTGAACGTCGATCCATTTTTAAAAAAATTGTGGCGGATTTGTTTTTTTTTTTTGGTGGAATTAAATATTCTCCGATGGTTGTGATTGGATAGAAGGAAACAAAAAGCAAAGGAGGAAGATAAAAGAGAGAAGGCGAAATTATTCTGTTCTCTCTCCTTCTCTCTCTACATCTGCGGTGCTGTGTTTTTCCTTGGGTCTCTGATACCGTGAGGAAGGTATATGAGATCCGTTCATTAGTTGTGGAAGCTGTTTGCTGAAAAGCTGATTCGATTTTGTTCTGGAGGAATTCAGAGGGAAGGAGCAGAATTTGAATTGGGTTTATTCAGAGTTAGGTGAGTTTTTAATTCTGCGTTGGTCATTGGTTAGGGTTTTTTCTTGGGTGTATTCTTGGTGTGCTGATTTTTTTTTTGAATTTGGTAAGAGTTGGTTTTCCTTTTGGGCATATTATTACTCGCATAAGGATCCAGAATAAGGAGAATTGTGGTTTTCTCCTCTCTGGAAATCTGAATTGTGCAGAAGATGATTTGAGGCGGTGTTTGCTCAATACGGTTTTTGCTCTCCAATTTTACATGCGTATACATTTCTTATAGAGAAGAGAAGATCTTATACAGTGAAATTCTGAATCTGTGGTTCGTTTGAGTCCCTAGATTGCATAAATTTGCGAACTTGTTTTTTGGATTCTGCACGGGTTTTGGGTTAATGTATACCAGGAAATTTCCTTGTATCCGTGGAATACTTGATGCGTGAGTGTAGGGGCATTATGATATGGTATGGCGCTAATGCGTTTTGAGCATTTGATGGCAGTCATTCTATCAAGATTTGCTTTGAAAATGGGAAGTGCATTATGTTTCATCAGGTATTAGACTTGAATATGGTGCTTTTTCTCTTCTTTCCAGGGAGTGGCTCTATGTTCAGTGGATGGAACTAGCGACTTAAAAAGTTTTTGAGTGAGGTATCATCTTTTGAATTTTTCTTTGTGATCTGCATGATGCCGTCGGAGATTATGGAACAGGGAGGTGTCTCGGCATCCTCCCACTTTCACGAAGAAAATCGCCTCACTCCAGAGGTAATTTCTGGCTTTGTGTTTTATCGGAATCAGAAAATCTGGTGGTATAATTTTAAGCTGAAGTGTATGGATGCAAATTCTCCGAGTCATCTTTTGCATACAAAATTATGCTCCCTGATAATCTCTAGGCCGTATGGAATGATGCCTTTCCATTGCTTTCTGTAACTCCCTGTAATATTTTCTTGGGCAGAAACAATTTGGTTTCTGGAAAACGAATCCAATGCCTGATAACCAAGGCCATGGGGATAAAATTCCCAATCTATCAAGGAGTTCATGGACTTCCGAAAATTGCCAGCCGAAGCCAGAATCAAGCATGTCCCCTGTGTTGCCATCTGTTAACCCTAATGGGAAAACAGCTGCAACTGATACTGAGTGGGAAAGCAGTCTCTTCTCCAGCTCACTCTCTGAATTATTTAGTAGAAAACGTATGCTTCTGATTCGCTTTGTTTTCTTAAAGAATTTTACAATTTGTTGTGATGCTTTTCATCCGCTCTCTTAATCTGCCAGCCATTGTTGCTCGACAAACATGCTCTGTTCATATTTGTACTGATAGAGAATATCGAATATGATCATGTGAGTTTGGTATTTCTTGTCTGATAACTTCAGTTTGTATCATTAGGTTTGCGCTGAATAACTGCATTTGTTTTCTAGCTTCCTTTTAATCGATTCTATAAATTGCTATCTTTTTTTCTCAAATTTTGTAGTACGGTTACAGAGGAGTGATATGCTATCTTCTCAGCCTGCAAATACAGCTGCTTCCCATCGTGAGGTCGACGAACCTTTTGAGTCTCTTGAAGAGATTGAGGCACAAACTATTGGAAATCTTCTTCCAGATGAGGATGATCTCTTCGCGGAAGTGGTTGGTGAGGTTGGGCGCAAATCTCGTGCCAATAATGGAGATGATTTGGATGATTTTGACCTTTTCAGCAGTGTTGGTGGCCTGGAACTAGACGGAGATGTTCTCTCGTCTGGGGCCCAAAGAAATTTTGATTTCATGAAAGTTGCAAATGGTGAGTTTGGCGCCAATGTTTCTATTATTGGCGAACATCCTCAGGTAGAAATTCCATCCAGGACACTTTTTGTCAGAAATCAAAATGGCAATGTTGAAGATTATGAGTTGAAGGCCCTTTTTGAGGTATGAAATCTCAGTAGCATTACTGGTTGTTGTAGGTTCTTATTGCATGATAGTACATGTTTTGTACAATTTTTTGTTTTGTTTTTCTCCGTAATGATAAGAAATTCTGTTGTTCAGCAATATGGAGATATCCGTGCTCTTTATACAGCCTGCAAAAATCGTGGATTTGTCATGGTATCTTACTATGATATAAGGGCTGCCCAGAATGCGATGAGAGCACTTCAAGACAAGCTGTTGAGGCGAGCTGAGCTTGACATTCATTTTTCCATCCCAAAGGTGTCATTTACTTTTCCAAAGAGAAAACTACCCCTTTTCTCTGGTTGTTTTGGTTGCCGCTTTTGTACCTGCTCTTAGTTTTTTCATTTGTTTCATCTGTCTTGCTTAAATTACTCTTGAACACTATCAGGAAATTCTATCAGAAGAGGACATAAATCAAGGAGCATTGTTGGTTAATAATCTCGATACCTTCATTTCAAGTGAAGAGCTTCATCATATATTCGGTTCATATGGAGAAATCAAAGAGGTTGGTCTCCTAGTTCTCTTTTCTTTTCTTTTTCTTTGATGGTTACATTGATACTTAAAAGGTGTTTGGACTGTTTGCAGATTCGTAAAGCCACACTTGAGAATCAGCAGATATACGTAGAATTCTATGATATTCGAGCTGCTGAGGCTGCTCTTCGTGGATTAAATGGAAGTGAAATTTCTGGGAAGCAGCTGAAACTTACACCAGCTCGAGCACAGGGTACACGTAATTTATCATCAGGACACATGGGTATATAATCTTGTATTCTGTTTATGATTTTCCTTTTCTCAATGATTTTGCATCTCAGGGAAAAAAATCTACCCTTGGTACATGTTGCAGGTAGAAACTTCATTGGAATAAGAGCTTCTAGTTCCATCAATGGCGGATCTATGCGTAGTCTGCTGAATCCTATCAGGTCTCCGGTGAACTCTTTCATTGAACGCAATCAGAGTTTCAACATTCCTGGCTTGCCGTCTTCAGCAAGAGTAATTTCTGCAAGCAAGCCAATTGGTCTTCAGGAGCCCAACCACCCTTTTGATAATTCGACGATGGGGATCCAGAGTATGCAATATCTGCATTCCCATTCTTTACCAGAGTATCACGACAACTTTGCAAGTGGCAGTCCATATAAGTCCTCTAAAATGTTTTCGGAAATGGTTAGTAATGGCTCAAAAGCAAATGATGGTTTTATGACTAACAAAGTTCATGGAGCTGGTGCTGATGGATTTAATGGAGGGGGTAAGTTTGAATTTCTTTTAATTTGCTATCCTGTCTTGATAAAGTTATCTAAGATTGTTAATGGCTTATGCGAATGAATTTGATTTATAGAGAACTACGGGTGTAGCATACTATCGGAGATCACAGTTTTAAAGTTAGGACAGAGATTGCTCTACGATCCAAATATTGTGAACTTTGAAGTGCCAAAGCTATGAAAACTTAGTTATATGATATCTGACCCTTTAGTTACTGGCTTTCCTTTAGCCACATCTTGGGTGTAAAGTTTGTTATCCTTGGAAAATCAGTACTGGTAACAATTTTAATGAAATTCTGCTTGCTTAAACGAAGAGGCAATTTTGGTCTGGAGTTTGAAGAGGGCAAGATGCTATAACTTTTGTTATTCCCCTTGACAGAACTTGGCAGTTGCTAAATGCTATCCTCAAATCGGTATTCCATGTTTTGATTTAGGAGAGTGATGGAATTTTATTCAGTGCCTGCATGTGCAAGGTTTTTCTGGTTTGTCACTATTTGTTAATCTTTCTGTTACAGTAATAGGATCTCCCATGAGTGAAAGCGCTCATCGTGCAAACCACAGTTTATGGAGCAACTCTAACTCTCAGCAACCGAGTTTGACAAGTGGCATGATGTGGTCCAACTCACCGTCACATGTCAATAGCATTCCTCAGCGCATCCCAACTGCTGCCGCATTTTCTAGGGCACCTTCTCTAATGGTGAATATGTCATCATCCCCTGTACATCACCACATTGGGTCTGCACCAGTGATGAATTCGCCTTTCTGGGATAGAAGACAGCCCTTTGTTACAGAATCTCCAGAATCTTCTGGCTTCCACTTAGGTTCTCACGGGAGCATGGGATTTCCTGGCTCTTCTCCGTCACATCCAATGGAAATTGCTTCTCGTAAGATTTTTGCTCATGTTGGTGGCAATCACATGGATTTAAATGCCGCAAATGCTGTATTGCGATCTCCTCAACAAATGTCTCACCTCTTTCCTGGAAAGAACCCGATGGTTTCAGTGCCAGGCTCATTTGATTCTCCAACTGAACGATACAGAAACCTCTCTCACCGTAGAAGTGACCCTAGTTCTAGTAGTGCTGACAAGAAACAGTACGAGCTTGACGTTGATCGCATATTGCGTGGGGAGGACAGCAGAACAACGTTGATGATAAAGAACATTCCTAACAAGTGAATTTGGACTCTCTTCTCGTCTTTTTATTCTCTGTTCTATTTGTTCTCCGAAGAGCTAAAAATCTACAGGTTGCTTATTGTATCATGCTTCATGTTTTTTGTAGCTTTTTCTGATTATCTTTTGTTATGGTTTAGGTACACCTCAAAGATGCTTCTAGCTGCAATTGATGAGCATTGCAAAGGAACCTATGATTTTCTTTATTTACCAATTGACTTCAAGGTAAGCATCCCTCCTACTTTTCTTTCTTTGATGCACGCTTCAAGTTTCCATTATTTGTAATTGTAACATTATCCTTTTTTACATCCCCTATCTGCAGAACAAATGCAATGTGGGCTATGCTTTCATCAACCTAATTGATCCTAAAAAGATTGTTCCATTTCATAAGGTCTGATTTTCAGCTGTTCTGTTAAATTGGTTGTTCTAATGTTCTTGTGTTTTTGAACTGAACAGCTGAGTGCAATGTTTAAAACTTTCACAGGCATTCAATGGTAAGAAATGGGAAAAGTTTAACAGTGAAAAGGTGGCGTCTATTGCGTATGCTCGGATTCAGGGAAAAGCAGCTCTTATAGCTCATTTCCAGAATTCAAGTTTGATGAATGAAGACAAACGTTGCCGCCCTATTCTCTTACACACCGATGGCCCAAATGCTGGTGATCAGGTAAGAGTTAGAACCTCACTAAACATCACTTCCATAATTTCCCCTTGCAACAATCCATTAATGTTAATATACATGCAAGTAATTTTACACTAATCATGACATTATGTATGTTAATTATGCGTGTTAATAATTTCTGGAGAAAAGATCTAGTGATGATGCATTGTAGTTGGAGGTTCTATGTACAAACACATTGATTGTTCGATGTAAAAGTTTACATATTTTGGATGGTCAAGCGGTTGCTCTTGGAAGTACTTTATGAAATAAACCATTTTTTTTTTCACAACAGGTCCATGCCTTTGATTAATCTTTCCTCTTGTATCTGCAGGAGCCATTTCCAATGGGCACCAACATCCGTTCAAGACCAGGCAAGCCTCGAATGAGCAGCATTGACAGCTATAACACCCACAGCAGCTCTTCTGTTTTGGAAAACCGAGAAGAAGAACCTCCAAATGTAACCGACTCTTCCTCGAAGGAGAACTAACCGATAGGCAACCAAATCAGCTCCATCCAAATCCAGCGCACTAACCTTTAGAAAACCAAACCGTGTGAGAAGGTAAAAGAGAAAGAGAAAAGGGAAGAAAGGTTGAAACTTCACCGCTACAGATATAGAATCCGCACCCATAGTTCTGTATATCCAGGGTGTTGGTTTTCACAACTGCAGGCTGCAGTAGAGGAGAAAATTTTTGGGAGATATGATAAAAAAAACTTGACACCCTGTGAAGTGGAACCCCCTCTGGTGTTACTGCTTCACAAATTTTGTTGTATCATCATATTTTTAGGAACATGGGCTGACGTAAATCCCCCGGATGGGGAAATTTTTGGCTTTATGTACGACATCGATGGCTGTGACAAAGACATTGTTGCAGATAGCTCCCAGAGACATCTGGTAGTTTTTTTTTTTTGGTGTTCTAAGATATTTTTGAACCTCTGTTTTGGAGTCTTGAGGACATCATTCTTAGTCCACGTTTTGTTGTCATTTGCTGACTTCTGGTTATTCATTCTGTAGTTCTGGTCCTGTCTTCTTTTGTGTCTTGTTTCCTGTTGCCATTTCAAAGACAACAAGAGCTTCTTCTTCTTGGACGATGTTCATATGATTTGGTATGACTTTGGCATCTCCACATCTGACTTGGTCAATGTCTTCACTTTCGATGTCAGCTCAGCTCTTTACGGTTGTGATTGTCGTTTTTTACGGTCCAAAGCAAACCAAAAACACTTTGAATCTCAAAGTAATCGTGGCAAAGACCCTATAAGAAAAATTGTGAAAATATGTCTTAGTGTAGGATACATATATATATACCCAGTACTCGAGTTCCCGTACTGTGTTTTCCAGCTCAAAGGGCGAGCCTTTCTTTTTCTTTTTCTTTTTCACGGAGAATGCAACGAAGCAAATCTCTGCAAATCTCGCAATTTCGTCATCTTATCTTCCTCCTCAGCAAAACCCACTTCTCGTCTTCCACTAAAACCCTAACCCATGTTAAGTTCCCGCCGTCCGGCGATGATCCTCTGTACGCAGACGTACCGAAGCCCCAAAGGGACAAATCGGAGAGGAAGCCATATCCGACGCCGATGAAGGAGTTGATTCGGCGTGCCAAGGAGGAGAGAGAACTGAGAAAAGCGCAGCCTTGTCGGGTTCTGGAGGATCCGCCCGACAACGGTTTGCTCGTGCCCGAACTCGTCGACGTGGCTCACCGAGTCCACCGAGCCCGCGCCTCGCTCCTCTCTGGTCTTGCTAGAATAGTCCGCGTCATTACTATTCATCGATGCAGGTACTCTTAGTTTGTTTAAATTGGTAAACTTCGGTAAACGTACGATGCTAAGGGAAATAAAAAAAAAAGCTGATCTTTCTGCTTGTTAGTTCAAAAGTTTCTTGTCTGTGTTCAGATTCTGTACTGAGGTTCATGTCGGCGAAAGTGGTCATGGCATCAGGACTTGTACGGGCCCAAAAAGCGGATTGCGTGCTGGAACGCATGTCTGGAAAAGGGGAAGAGCAAACGATGTTGTGTTCTTCCCTAAATGTTTTCATCTCTATGACCGTGTTGGCAGACCAAGAGTTCTCCATGGTGAGATGTTTAGTGTCCCTAGGATTCCTGCTGTTTTAGAGCTATGCATTCAGGCTGGTGTTGACATAGAAAAATTCCCGGCTAAGAGAAGAACAAAACCCGTGTATAGTATCGAAGGACGGATCGTGGATTTTGAAGATTTTGATGGGAATGAGGAAGAGGTGAATCCTGTTTCACTGGAAAGTCACTGTGATGATCCTCAGGAGACTGGTAAAACCGAAAACTTAGGTGATGATATTCGGGAAGAGGAGAAGAGCGTAAAGGAGTTAAGCATTGAGACAATGGAGTCGTGGTTCGAAATGGTTTCAGGAGTGAAGAGAATCATGAAGAAATACAAAGTTTGGACATGTGGGTATTGCCAAGAGGTTCAGGTTGGTCCAAGAGGGCACAAAGTGAGGAAGTGTAAAGCCACAAAGCATCAGATGCGTGACGGTATGCATGCATGGCAAGAGGCAACCATCGATGATATCATCGGTCCGAACTACGTATGGCATGTCCCTGATTCGGGTAGGTCTGTTCTCGACAATAGCTTGAAGAGGTACTATGGAAAGGCTCCGGCAGTAGTGGAGCTGTGCGTGCAGGGCGGTGCAGCCGTGCCTGACCAGTACAAGAGCATGATGAGGTTGGATGTGGTTCCTCCTGGACGAGATGAAGTGGATCTTGTTGCGTGACTTTTGTCTGCTCCTTTCCCCTTTTAGCAAGGTTTGATCGAACAGATTGAATCATTTCAGAACGCAGATGGTTCATGAACCTATAGCTCTCCTGGTGGTTCTTCTCAAGATGCTACTGATATAGTTATCAGTTACTTGTATATGTATGGATGTATGTCTCTCTCTGAATTTGTCTGAATGTTGTGAAGAAGAAGCATTTGATGAACCAAACAGCAACTGTTTCTTCATGTTCTTGATAAAAGAAAGAAGGAAAAGAAAAAGCTGTTTCATAAAATTCTGTTAGAAGATGCATCAGAAAAACGCTGCATATATGATATATATATATATATATATATATTTAATAAAGTATGGTTGAATATTATATTGCAATATTTGTATACAATTGTTCATTTTTTTTATAGAGGATTGAAATTGGTCTCAAATTGCTAAATGCGCATATAATTCTCTTCTACGATTAGTGTGAATTTGAATAGTTATGAATTATGATGAGTCGGTCCTTCATTGGACCGTCTGTGAAATTAGAGCCAACGGATAAAATCGGGCCGAATAAAGTATTTGGGCCTTGTGACCGTTATTCAAGCCCATTTAGTGATTGTTTTTAAACGGTTCGGGCGAAAACCCGACCCGGAAAAACCGTGACTCCAAAAAGCGCTCTCTCTCTATATCTCCCCCCCCGTCTCTCTCTCTTCCGCCGAAGAAACGCAGCTCCGGTGAGTCTCTGAAATAATTTCTCTCTATGGCTATTTCTGGCTCATGATTCTTGGTGCTACTTGATTAGTGTTAGTTCTTCCTAGGGTTACATTCAATTTTCTTTTCTGGTGAGGATTTCTTCTCTCCGATTGATGCTGTCGAAATTGTGATCGAATTGCGTGCCGCGACATGTTTTGATTAGAGTTTTTGCCTTGTGTTTTGTTCCACGATCCCTGCCTACCTTTTTCACCTCTCGAGAAGAAAGAGGGTCGCGTGAATTTTACTCAGGTTCGTGGTTCTCTGTCTTTCTGGAAGGATCTTCGATGGCTGAGACTACTGGGCGTTTTCTGGTTCGTCGTTGAGAATTTTTGGTTTAAGAAGCTTTAACAAAAATGTGTGTACTTGGCTTAGCAGAGGTATGCGAGTAATGTGCCAAGAGCACGGTTTTGGTAAGAATCACGTAGGTAGAACCCATCCTAAAAGGGTATGCCTAAGGGCCTTATATGCCCCACATGAACATGAAGTCCTATTTTGCATTCCCAAATTTGTTTGGCTTGTGAATGGGATACACTACAGCGGATCCTTGTCTTTTCCTTTTTTAATTCCGTCGCTCTTATGTCTTGTTTTACCGGTTTCTGTTTCATGTTTTGCCGTCCAGGTGTTATTGTGTTCATCAGTGTATTGTGAAAATTAAGATAACTCATTGCTGCCTGGCTTATCTCCGTTTCCAACTAGAAACTGCTCATCAGAAGCAGTTGTGAGCTGGAAAAATGACTGAGACGATGGAGATGGAAATGGAGTTCTCTGATGGTGAAGAAACTAATGGTGTTGCACATATCCCCGCAACTTTTGTTACCCCATCTCGTAATCATGTATATGACAGGGCTGCTAGTTTGGCTGCTAGTTTGGCTGCTCATGGAAACTCATCTGGTGCATTAGATAAAGGGATAGAGAGGGTGTATCATGAAAAGCTTCCTGGTTTTATTTTCATGTGTAACGGCAAAACGAAACCTGACTGCTACCGTTATCGTGTTTTTGGGCTTCCAAAAGGGAGGAAAGACATCATCGATAATATAAAACCAGGCATGAAGCTTTTCCTGTATGACTTTGAGAAAAGACTTCTGTATGGCATATATGAAGCTATCGGTGGTGGCATGTTGAATATAGAACCAGATGCTTTTGAGAAGAAATATCCAGCTCAGGTAAGTTGGGCTTGGCGCTCTTGTTTAAATGGCTCTGCATAAGATGTTCTGGTCTCAATTGAAACGTGCCTTTTTTATATTTGTTTTTCTTATTTTGGCAGGTTGGATTCAGAATTTTCAGGAACTGTTATCCCTTATCAGAGAGCACTTTCAAGTCTGTGATCCATGAAAATTACAGAGGCGACAAGTTTAAGCAAGAACTCAGTCCTCACCAAGTAATTGACTTCTTGCCTTTCTTGGGGTTGACTTTTTCCCATGTTTTACATCTTTGCTGAGCAACTATCCATGAAATCTTGCAGGTTACAATTCTTCTATCATTGTTCCGTTCGTTTACTGCTCCGGAACTTGATTCAGTGCCTCAGATGTTGGCTTCTAGGTTGTCCTCACCTAGGACACTATCATTTGAAGAACGTTTCATAGCTTCTGGGAAACTTCGACTCACGTCATCAATGCTACATCCTGCGTCTGTTGACCATACAGAACCACGTCACTACTCTCGTATGGCCCACCAGTCTGTTGCTCACAATACATCTTCAGTCCAGCGTAGTTACTCCAGACAACCTGATTATTCAAACCCATTGAGGGGGTTGTCAAGTCTAGATAAGCAGTATTGTCCTACAGAAGTTCGGCAGCAGCGCTTGCTTGGAGACCCTCCCCGGTCATCTATTCAAGACCCTCAACTCAAATACTTGACCATTTTATCAAATATACGGAGGTAGGTATGATTGTAGAATTTTGTTTTTAAATTCCTCGAACTGATGGCTGACCTCATCACCCTTCTTCATTTTGTCTTACTCGGTGACAATTTGTAATTGTTTCTGCCATGAAATGTGTTCATTAGCCATGGGAAAAAGAGTTTTTTTTTTGTAGGTAAAAAATTCGATCATTTATGATGAGTGTCTAAAAGCAAAGCATGTCTTAGCTGAAACTTAATTACTCTGCTAGAAGCTTTCATTTCCAAAAAGATTTCAAACTGTTCTATTTTTTTTTCAATTACATACAAATGATTTTGATACGGTGGTTTCGGATTTTGCAATGGCAGATACGGAACTGACCGAGAGCATTCGGCCTCAGAAACTGAGTATCATCCTGCAACGCCATTAGGGAATGAGCATTATACTTCAAACTATCCTGGTAATGGTTATTATCCTTCGGCCTTAACAGGAAATGAAGTTTCTTCTGCCTCTGCAGCCAGTGTGAATGTTTATTACCCTTCGACAACCTCTGCAAATGAGTTTTATACTTCGGCCTCACAAAAGGAAGGGGAAACAAGTCAGACGGCTGCCAACTACTACCCCCAGCAAGTATCCACGGCTTCAGATGCCACAGTTTCCGTTCAATTAGATGCGCAGCCTGTCCATGCTGCACAGTCTTATGCCGAGACTAGTGGGTATCCTTCACTAGCACATGGTCAAGAAACTGGGAGTGCTCCACAGCCAGCCGCTGAAACGATTGGTTATGCGGGTTATGCCCATCAACCACACAGTGTACCGGTTGCATATACCACTCATCCACACCAAGGAAGTGTGGAGTATAATGGGCAATCATATGCAGCAGCAATGGGTTACACTCATCAGCAACCATATGGAAATGCAACTGGATATACTCCACAGATCTATGGAAGTGCAACCGGATATACTCAACAACAATATGTTGCAGCGTACGGGTATGCTCCACAAACCCACCAAGCTGAAGTTGTTGAAAACTCTCAACAAACGGCTGAGCCACAATCTGCTTTACCGGGGTCAACTGGAACGGCTGATTGGAATTCAAACCAGCCATATTCCGGAACAGCTGATTGGAGTGCTGTGTATCAGCCTTACTACCCTTACACAGCAGATTCCACCACCACCACTACCTCCTATAACCAAACATGTTGAACAAGGCTGTGCATTTTAGGAATCTGTCTTGGCATAGACAGTATTCCAGAGGAAGAGGAGAATCTGTGAGGACTGATCGCTTGAGGGCTATTGACTATTGACTTTTGTTCAAGTAAAGTAAAAGCATGTATGAATTACGCTTTCGCTGAGATTTGTTTGCATTTGCCTTGTAGGATCCCGACGTTTTTCTACCTGTTGGAAGCATGGACTCAAACTGTTGGAGGCTACTGACCATGCAACGAGGGCCAAGTTCCTAAGAATGGAGTCTCCTGCTTGTCTGCTGTAAGTTTATGTGTTAATTATACTCGCTTTTAATTATCGTCCATAAGTCCAATGAAGTATTATGCAGTGGAACACCCTTCTCTTTTGCTGCGAAACAGATCCATCGGTTTCTAATCGCAAGTCTCAAATCCCAGATTGGGAGTGAGATCTGAACTTGTCAATTTCGATTGGATTGTAAAATTGCCAACAAAAAATTGATGATACATTGATGAACAGGGAACTGTTTATCTTAATAATAATGTAGGAATTTTTTAGATTTGAAATGATTACTATACTGTTCTAAAAGGGTTTTTTGGGGGGTTTGAGAGCAATGGTGAAAGCCAAATGGCTGCCCCCAAAGGCAACTTTAGAATGGATGAATGCCCATTGGATTTGGCTCAGAGGAGTAACTACAAACTTTGGTCTCCACTAGATTAGTTTCTCTCTGCTTCTTTGACTCATTCACATTGCATTTCAATTTATATGATCTTTGACCACCAAACCTGTCTGTCCTTGCAAAAAACAATTGCTTTTTTGGGCCATTTTGTTAGTCATCCACTACCCCCTGTTTTTGGAGTCAAGATGAGCATATATGCACATTGCCTCCTCACATGTTAGAACCTTGGATGTAATTGCATGCACATGTTTTGCCTCTCCCCACCTTTTTTTTTTCAATTTGCTTTACAGCTCCCCCCCTCCCCCCCTTCCCCCCTTCCCATTCTTGTCATCTCTTCTCTATGGAATAAATATCCCTTTTGGATTTGCTGTCTCTCATTGAACCAAACAGATAACCCTTTTGCTTGGCTTGAACTCTCTGTACCGTTTGGTGAGTTGGGTCATATTTAAATATTTCTCTCCTCTTTTTTCTAATATGATAAGAGCCCAATCCCAAAAATTATATAAAAAAGAGTAGGAGTTTTATGGTTCCTGCCATTTATTATTATTTTTTGAAAATGAAAAGCCTTGATCTGTGATTATGCTTCTTTTTTTTAAAAAATTTAAAAGAAGTGTTGATTGGCTTTCAGGTGGTGACATATTTTGTTTGTTTGTTTTTTTATATGAACAATTTTGTCTTCTCACGTAGCCGGCAAAGATGCTTTTTTTTTACCCCTCAAAGCAGCTTTGCTGACTTAAAAATTTTACTTTTCTTATCCCTAAGAAAAGTTAAAATTTATTCCATCACATATACTAATGTTAATACTAATAACATTGTAATACCAAAATCAAATATTATGCTTTTTCTTCCTTCCTTTTACTGATACAAAGAGGGGGGTTAAAGTTGAAACCTCATGGTAACTGTCCTCGGGGATCTTGGATTCCATTGTGAAAATGATTTTAAAAAAATCGATAGGTTTTAAGAGGCATATATATATATATATATATGTCACAAAAAAAAAAAAGAATGATTCTCAATGTGCTAGTGGTTGGAGAGATTCAATAATTAGTAACTTATGGTAATAATTCTCATGTGATGGAGCCCGCATACTCTTCAAGGTCACACTTCTTACTGAAAGGAGATGGTATTTTCCCTATCAATTCCATCGCCCTACTTAGCAAATTTCCCCAACTTTCGTAGATAAAACTATGACTCTTTTTTTTTTTTTTTGAAAAAAGAAAAATAAAAGAATAATCTAAACAGACGTTTGCTTCAATCAATTATAGTTTGTAAATGGCTGATTTAAAGTTATTAGACATAAAACTTATCGTACTTCGGAATTATTACATGTACGTTTTCTTATTATTTTGGAGATTTTATAATAGCATCCCTTTTTATATGAAATTTTAAAAAATATATATAACATTCAGAGAGATGTTTATTGAAATATTAATATTCCAAAGTCATTTTTTTAATTAGAAGGAGAAAAAGGAACGCGGTTAATGGCGTCAGTCAGACCGTAGACTCGGATACAACTGGGTCCCACCTTTTCCCTGTCCAGAATTTTTCCTCCCTTTTTTATTTCTGGTTTTTCTGTGTCCCACTCCTGTTTTCTGTCTCTTCTTCTTCTTTGGAATCGTCAAATGGCTTTTTCTGTTGTTCGATCCAGCACCTGATCCGCAGATTTCGACGGAGTATTATCTTTATGGGAAACTGCTGCTCCGATGTGGCCTCCGGAGGTGGCGGCTTGTACGGTGTCGGTGGAACTGCTTCCTCCGCCGCCGGCAACGATGCCGTTGACTACTACCTCAAGTCTCGCGGCTATCATGGACTTTTCTCTCAGATCGAGGTTTCCATCTCCATTCATCTGTCTGTTTGTCAGGATGTTTCTGGTTCTGACATATGACGGACTCCGTGTGCTTCGCTCAAGTTCGAACTCCCATCGTGTACCTGTAGTTTTTTAATTCTGGGATTTTTTTTCGCTTGCAGCTATCGTTTTCTGCTTCCGATCTGCGAGACCGGGACGTGCTCTCAAAGGTCCGTTCTAATTCAGAGCTTCTATCCTTTTGTCTTTTGTCACTCTTAGGATTTGACAGTTAGTTTCGAAATTAGGGTTTTAGTTTGCTGATTTTAGCTGCTTTGAGATGAGAACGTAAGAATGGTGCTCTCCGAGCTTGTGATTTGGTATCCAAGGCTTAATTTTCTCTGGCCATGTCACCGTTACAAATTCCCATAGACCTGGAATGGGCTTTTTGCCTACTAGTTAAATTTATCGTTTTCTGGACATGAAAAATGTGAAAAAGACTCTCCGAGGTGGTCTGAAGATGAACTTTGAAACTGTTTCGATTCTCATAAGCCCTCAAATTGGTCGGAGAGTTGTATTAGTTGGGTGGACAACCAGTATTAAAGCATGATTTAAGGTCCTGATGATGATGGATTTGTATATTAAATTTCCTAATATGTGTTTTCTTGGAACCTCGGGCTTAATCACCGGACTTAACGAATTCATGTTCTCTACTTTGTTTTTGGTCTCTGGTGTATTTGATTCTTCTGCTATGCATTTACTGTTGGTTAAAATGTTAAACCAATTTGTTTGAAAAACTTTGTTTTACAGAGCGATCCAATACTGGTGATTTATACGAAAGGAAGAGATGGAGCTCTTACAGAAGTATTCCGTAGTGAAGTTGTTTTGAATTCCTTAAACCCAAAATGGATTAGGAAGTTTACGATCACTTATCAATTTGAGATGGTGCAAACATTGTTGTAAGTTCCAAATCTTACATGTGTCTCATAAGAGAAATTATGCTCTTACCCCTATCTGGCATTTGTGACCACTTGTGTTGGTTATAATCCTCAGGTTTCGTGTGTATGACATTGACAAGCAGTTTCAAAATTCAAGAGAGGAGGTAACTGCAATCAATTTCTTTGAATTTACTACAGTTACATATACAATTTATGCCTTTCGAATCTTTCGATGCTTTCTTCACTTTTCAATCCAGCTGTCAGCACCCTCATGTATATCTCATAACAGGCGTGTTATGATCTAGCTTGACCAGTAAAGTCTACTGAGAAGTGTTACCTGCTTGCCTTGCAAACTTACTTTTGTAAGCGTGTAAAGAAAAATACAAGTTGATTGAAGATTTTGGTTTTCAGATGCTCAAGCTCGACGAACAGCAGTTTCTTGGTGAGGCAACTTGTGCACTGTCTGAGGTATGGACTGCTTTGAATGATTTAAATGTAAGACTGTGCATTGGTGATAACTTCTCTACTGGTTTTCTAGGAGAGATTCATAGGCAATATAATTTGGTGCCTAGCTTGTAAGGAAGAGAGACCAAGCTCTTGAACCGTATTGCTGAATTTATATTGAGTTGATTTTAATTATACTGATTAACTATGCAGATCGTCACAAAATCGAACAGGACAGTTACCTTAGAACTCATGGGTAAAGAAGGTTATGCTCCACAGACTCGGTCACAGAACCATGGAAAGCTTATTGTCCATGCTGAGGAGTCTGTTGCTTTTAAGACTACAACAGAGATTGTATTTAGGTGCTTGAATTTGGAATCGAAAGATCTTTTCTCAAAAAGTGTATGTTGTTTTTCGGGTGACAATATTCTCTTAACTTTTCTATTGTAGAATTTATTTCAGACATAAAGGTGACTTTGGTTTTCTGTTGTCCCTTGTCATCAGGACCCCTTTTTGGTGGTATCAAAGATTGTAGAGCAGGGGGTTCCAATCCCCGTGTCTAAAACTGAAGTCATAATGAATGATCTCAACCCAACATGGAAACCACTCTTTCTAAGTGTTCAACAAGTGGGAAGTAAGGTACTAGGGGTTTCTCATATCTGAGCTAGTTTGGAATGTTTTGCATGAATAGCGACAATGAGTCTCTGTTAGAGACTTCTTTTGCATCATAGGGCAATATCATCTATCTACCTAAATGTGCAGGACAGCCCTCTGATTATAGAGTGTTTTGACTATAATAGCAATGGAAAACACAATCTCATCGGGTAACCAATAATTATATTTTCATCCATCCCATTTTGGAGAGACCATGTGCTGCTGCTAGCTCGATCATGCTTTGTTTATATTTGGTTGGCCAGAAAAGTTCAGAAATCGCTTTCAGACTTAGAGAAGCTTCATTTTGCTGGCCAAGGAATCAGTTTATCTTTATCAGCTGGACATAAACATGAAGACCGGGTATACACCACTGAAAAGAGGCTCCCTATAAAATTTATGCCTTTGTGCGTCCGATATCTGAGACCATTTTATATGTTATATTATTTTAGACTTTGAAGAGCCAGCTTTACGTGGACAAGTTTTCCGAGACTGTCCAGCATACTTTCTTGGAATACTTGGCATCAGGTTTTGAATTGAACTTCATGGTGGCAATTGATTTCACTGGTAGGCATCACACTCTCTGCAGAAGATACGAGAAGTTTCCTTCATGCTTCCTAACTGGACATGCAGAGGAATTTTTTATAATACTCATCTTCCTTAGAGGAAAGAAAAGTTTTGAGACTTTTCTAGACTTTCCATGCCTTTGGGTAAACTAATCCAATTGTGCACATGTCCATCAGCTTCCAATGGAAATCCCCGCCTTCCAGATTCTTTGCATTACATTGATCCTTCAGGAAGACTAAATGCCTACCAGAGAGTGAGGACTCAATGTATTTGATTTTCCTATTATTAACTTAGGTTTCCTTGCAGAAGCAACGGCTAAATTATCATGTTTCCTCTCCTCAGGCAATAGTGGAAGTTGGAGAAGTGTTGCAGTTCTATGACTCCGACAAACGCTTCCCAGCATGGGGATTTGGAGCACGCCCTATTGATGGTCCAGTGTCACATTGCTTTAACTTGAACGGAAGCAGCACCTACTGTGAGGTCTGGTATTGAAACAAGTTTGTGTCACATTCTTGAAAACAAATCTCCATATATGTAATAACAACTTTCGGTTTCGTATCATGTGAATCGTTATCGTTAATCAGGTGGAAGGAATCCAAGGTATCATGATGGCATACACCAGTGCCCTCTTCAACGTCTCTCTTGCTGGTCCTACCCTTTTTGGCCCAGTGATCAATGCTGCTGCAACAATCGCCAGCCAGTCTGTTGCACAAGGAGGACGAAGATACTATGTCTTATTGATCATAACGGTGGGTGTACGTATAGAAATATCAAGAACATAAGTTGTGTTTTGAGAAACATGTTACTTTTTCTTTCTGAGCTCTGTCTCGATTGGGATGAAAGATATCCCAAAAAGAAACCAACTCAGTGGTATGTCCGAACACATTTTCAGGATGGAGTAATAACAGATCTCCAAGAAACAAGAGAAGCATTGGTGAGTGCATCAGACCTGCCCTTGTCAATCATCATCGTAGGGGTCGGAGGAGCTGACTTCAAAGAGATGGAGGTATTCATATCAAAATTTCCGAGAAACCCGAAAGGAAGACTCTTTCTTACAAGCTTATTGCTGGCTCTTGTCTGTGTGAGGTTGACACTGACTGTTTTTGTTTTGATGGTGCAGATATTAGACGCTGACAAAGGAGATAGGCTGGAGAGCTCAAGCGGGCGTGTGGCTTCACGTGACATTGTCCAATTCGTCGCATTACGAGACGTACAATGTGAGTTCTCTCTCATTCTGGATGCATACTACATAACATGATAGAGCATGGAAGAAAAAAAAGGTTTCATGGGATCGTAAAAATCCACAAAATTTTGCAGATGGGGAGGTTTCAGTAGTGCAATCGATTCTAGCTGAACTTCCCACACAATTTTTGACGTACATGAGGCTCAGAAATATCACGCCATCTACCTGACCATGTAAAAGACAGATGCCATGCATACATATATATATATATATATACATATATGTGTGTGTACATACATTTACACGGGGCTGTCGAGGAGATGGAGCGAGACGCTGCCAAAACGCCGCCGTTTTAGGTGCAGAATTGGTTTATTTCTTTCCACTTTCTCTCTCCATCCAAACCGTGCAAGTGAAGTGGATGACAATGCGGTTTCTTTGAACGAAATCTCTTTTCCGACAACTGTTTGAAAAAGTTGGATGATTTGTTGTCGTTGGGTTTTCTGCGTTTGATCATTTTATATTGTCTGAAGTCTGAAGCTGTTTTGTGCCGATTGTCTACTGAAGATACATACGTATTCTGTACCTTTTTTTTTGTCCTATGGACCATAAAAAAGGGTTTTTGTAGTTTCATTTTGTCATTTGGCTGCGCTTTCTCGGACAGGCGGCGGAGGCACGAGCTGCCGGTTTCTACGGCTGTCGTTTTTTTTTCTGATTGGAAGGTCAACGGACAGAAATTTTCTTCACGGATAGTTTTTCTATTTTTTGATCATGATACTAAATGAAAACAGGTTTTTTCTGTACGCATTATCAGTGATATATATATATATATATATATATATATATATCGTGATGTACAAACGACCGATTCAAAGTGTTGATTCAACATACGCTAAGTTTGGTTTGCCCCGTCCCTTGTCTTTCCTCCTATTTTCAAAGATATTTTTAGTGGTCAACTATTTCACCTGTTGACTTATTCAATACAAAAAAAAAACCCGTCTATACAGACATACATATATATATATATATGTGTACTGTATAAGATTTTGTT